CCTAGGCGTGACGGAACTCCCCTGGGTTCGCCCACGGTCAGGGGGGTGCCTGGGGTCGCTGGAGAGCGAGTTCCTGGCCGGGGAACGGGTTGCAACGTTTGCAAACGCAGGAGGGGCGCCCCCTTCTCCCATGGAAGGCTGGGCCGTGCTGGGACGATCTGACCCCCAGGCTCGGGTCACCCTCCGCCAGGCGGCCCGCGGAAGCCCGGCAGCTGTGGTGACCGGCGCTACCTCTGGTGTCTTTATTAATAATTGGAAATCGAGGCGGCCGGGAGCCCAGCTCGGCGAGGAGGCGGTGCTTGTGGGCACCGCCCCGCCTCGCTCCGCCCAGCCGCCCCGCCCAGGCGGACCCAGAGCCGGTTCACCAGGTGGTTGCGAACCTGGCCAGGCCGTGGCCTCTGCGGCCGGCCCCCGCCCCCAGCCCCTAATTGGCTCATTTGCCGCCGTGTAAACAAGGGCGCAGCCCCTCCCCCTGTTTAGTGCCTGGCCTTTAAAAAAACGAGTCCTCCCTTCTGCCGGCGGCACTCGTTATCTGAATCTTAATGAGGTCATTAGCATCCCGTGCCTCTGACGGGGAGGGACGTGTTCGGCGCACACCTCGTTGGGGCTTGTTTGCATGCCCTGGACCCCCGCGCCCACCTCACTTTGCGCAGGGCCGCGGGCCCAAGGCAGTGGGCGCCCGTGCCATCAACCTAGCGCCCAGCTGCCGCCTCACCGGCCTAGAGGCAAGGCTGCGGGAGGCGCCAGCTCAGGTGCGGATTTCAGAGATGGGGAACCCCTTCGCGGAGGACCCCTTGGGCAGAGGAGGGTCGGTGAGAGCACAGAGCGGGGCTCTGGGACCGGACCGAGGCGTCCAGCTGGCGGCACCGGCGACCTTCTGCCCTGAGCCCTTGATCCCTCTGGGTCTTTCTGGCCTGGCTGTTCGCGGAAGGGGGGTGGGGGGCAGGCGTCACTGCAGGTTGGATCGTAGCAGGAGGGGACGTGACCCTGAGGCTAACAGCGCTGCTCTCTGTTCCCTCTTCCCCCCCCCCCCCCCCCGCCCCCAGGGAACGGCAGGAACAGCTGATGGGATATCGGAAGAGAGGGCCGAAGCCCAAGCCGCTGGTGGTGCAGGTGAATATACTTGCTGGGCCCGGGGCCTGTCCACTAGTCTTTCCCTTGCCATTGTCACCTGATCTGCCTCCAGGCCCAGAGGGCAGGGAGAGTTTCTGCAGAGCACCCAATTCCACTTCCTTTCCACTTGACCTCCAACACGCTGGCCCTATAACGCAGCTGCTGACCCGCTTGGGGCTGGGACACTCCTGAGGCTCGAGGCATGCTCTGGGGCCGGCCCTATTCCTCTTCTCACCTCCCCTCGCATCCCTGCCTCCTTCCCCCAGGTACCTACCTTTGCCCGTCGCTCCAACGTGCTGACCGGACTCCAGGACTCCTCTGCAGACAACCGCTCTAAGCTGGAGCTGGGTGCTCAGGGCAAGGGCCAGGGCCACCAGTACGAGCTCAACAGCAAGAAGCACCACCAGTACCAGCCGCACAGCAAGGAGCGAGCCGGCAAACCCCCACCGCCAGGCAAGAGCGGCAAGTACTACTACCAGCTCAACAGCAAGAAGCACCACCCCTACCAGCCCGACCCCAAGATGTACGACTTGCAGTACCAGGGCGGCCACAAGGAGGCGCCCAGCCCCACTTGCCCGGACCTGGGCGCCAAGAGCCACCCGCCTGACAAGTGGGCCCACGGCGCGGGGGCCAAGGGCTACCTGGGAGCTGTGAAGCCCCTGGCCGGTGCGGCCGGGGCTCCAGGCAAGGGCTCCGAGAAGGGCCCTCCCAATGGGATGACGCCGGCCCCCAAAGAGGCGGTGACGGGCAACGGGATTGGGGGCAAGATGAAGATCGTCAAGAACAAGAACAAGAATGGGCGCATCGTGATCGTCATGAGCAAATACATGGAGAACGGCATGCAGGCGGTGAAGATCAAGTCCGGCGAGGCGGCCGAGGGCGAGGCGCGCTCCCCCAGCCACAAGAAGCGGGCCGCCGAGGAGCGCCACCCCCCGGCCGACAGGACTTTCAAAAAGGCAGCAGGGGCCGAGGAGAAGAAGGCGGAGGCGCCGTCCAAGAGGAGGGAGGAGGAGGCGCCGGGGGCCGGCGACCCGCAGCCCCAGGACGCCGGCTCCCGCAAGCTGTCCCCGACCAAGGAGGCCTTTGGCGAGCAGCCCCTGCAGCTCACCACCAAGCCCGACCTGCTGGCCTGGGACCCGGCCCGGAGCTCCCATCCGCCCTCCCACCATCACCACCACCACCACCACCATCACCACCACCACCACTCGGTCGGCCTAAATCTCTCCCACGCGCGCAAGCGCTGCCTCTCCGAGACCCACGGCGAGCGCGAGCCCTGCAAAAAGCGCCTAACGGCGCGCAGCATCAGCACCCCCACCTGCCTGGGGGGTAGCCCGGCCGCCGAGCACCCCACCGACGTGCCCCCCACCGCCACCCTCCCCCAGCCCGAGGTCATCCTGCTGGACTCGGATCTGGACGAGCCGATAGACTTGCGCTGCGTCAAGACGCGCGGCGAAGCCGGGGAGCCCCCAAGCGCCCTCCAAGTGAAGCCCGAGGCGCCCGCTACGGTGGCGGCCGTGGCAGCCGCGCCGGTGACGGCAGCCGAGAAGCCTCCGGCCGAGGCCCAGGACGAGCCCGAGGAGCCGCTGAGCGAGTTCAAGCCCTTCTTTGGGAATATAATTATCACCGACGTCACCGCGAACTGCCTCACCGTCACGTTCAAGGAGTACGTGACGGTGTAGCCGGAGGGCTTCGGAAGGGGAAGCGTCGTCCCCGCGGGTGGCTTAGCACCTGGTGCCTACGGGCGGACTCCTCCTCTCTCGCCAGCTGCGGGAGATCCGGGCCTGCCCTGGTGCGTGGACGCCCGGGAGCCGCAGTATCCGCAGTATCCGCGTCCCTCTGCGCCCCGCTGTCGGCTCCTGGCTGGGGCCTGGCTGGGGCACTGGCTGGGGCACTGGCTCCTGCCACGCGGTGCCTGCGGTCGCCCCCGACCTGCCCCATCCCCGCGCTGGACCTCCCCTCCCTCGTGGACCTCCGGGACTGACAGGGCAGCCACAGCGCCTGGGTCTCAGAGTTATAGTATTATATTTTAACCGTGCTAACTTGTCAAGTGCAGACTTTACTCCCGTTTGTAAGTGGTGTTATTATTGAAATGTATTGTTTGAGCTCAAAAGGCCCGACCACCCCCTTCGGGCTGATATATATATATTTATTTGTAGGTATTTATATATTGAAATATAAAAACCTAGATTTATGGAGTTTCCTCTAGATCATGTTATATTCTATATCAGACAAACTATTTTCTGTTGACCTTTCTTCCTGTTCATTCAGTATTTCGGTTGATTTCATTTCCTCCCCTTCCTGGAACTGCAATACCAGTAATGTTGGTATATATTTTTTGATACTGTACACATGGATGTGTTGTTTCTATGTGCAAAAAAAAAAAAAAAAAGTTTGTTTAAAGGCTAAACGAGCTCTCTAGAAACTGCTGCTACTAGAAATGTCTAAACTATAAGCTTCCAATTATTACCTGCTTGAATGTAAATATTAAATGGAGATGTTGAAGGTGCATTTTCGCTGTTTGAGATCAGCGCAGACGGAGCGTTGGAGGTTCAGGAGGCGGCTGGGCCCCTCTCCCCGCCCCCCTTACACCTTAGGTCTCGGGGAGGAAACCTCCTCGCGTCCTGCGCTAAACCTTTTGCAAAGGCGAAGCGGACCGGTTGCACGGGCAGAGGCGCCCGCGCCCAGGGAGTGACCCTGCTCCCCGGAAGTCGAGAGGCGCTCCCACGGAGAGGGGAATTCCTGCGGGGGGAGGGGGCGTCAGCGTCGCCCCCGCCCCCAGGGCTTTCGGGCCGGCGGGGCCCTGGGCGCTGGCGACCCGGGGATCCGCGTGGTGGGGGAGGGGTGCAGGGGTGAACGAGCGGCGCGGAGGAGTGGGTGGGGCTAGCCCCCCTTACCCCGCAGCCGCGCGCGCAGCACCCGCCCGGCACCTGCTGATCTTTGCCCCCCACCCACCCGGTGCGCCACACACCCAGGCGCTGGCTCCGGTGGGGCAGGGGTGTTCTTAATAATCCCTGCCCAGTAAGGCAGGTTCGGCGGGGAGGGGACCCTCCCACCCTCTCTAGCGTCGCTTGCTGGCATCGCTGGCCCCGCCCCACCGAGGAAGCCGCCGAGGCTCTTTCTCTGCCAGCCTCTCTCCCCGGAAACCACCAGGCCAGAGGCTCCGACTGGAGGCGCAGCGAGCGCGGCCAGGGCAGGGGCGGGGGGCTTCCTGCGTGGTGGATGGGGAGGAGGAGGGGGAGGAGGCCTGGTGAGCAAGGCCGGCTCACCCCGGTTTCCTCAGGGAGCGAGGGAAATGCGGAACCCCGTCTCACCGGTCCTGCTTTGGGTGGCGAGGCTGGGGCCCTTGGTGTCGCGGGGCAGGAAGGGGTTAAGGGCCCAGAGGGGCCGAGGGGAGTGGGCCGAGCACCAGGTCGTCGTCCCCCCCGGCCGGGAAGCCGCGACCGGGGAGGCAGCCGCCGTGGCCAGCTTTCTGCAGACGCAGCGATCCTCCTCCTGGCCGGGCGGCCGAGCAGGGCCAGGGGCCGCGGGACTGGGGCCCTGGTGGGCGCCGGGCTGCTCCTGGCCTCCAAAGCCCCTTGCCTGCCCGCCTGGGACTGAGGGCCCAGAGCCTGTGCAGGGCGCCAGGGCGGAAGAGGTCAACGTGGTTCAGAATGGGGAGGGGGCGGTGGCGAGAGCGCGCAGCGCTGGGAAGGCCAGGGGAAGAGATAGAGGGCCAGGAGGGCGGGAGGCCTGAATGCGGACAGTGTGGCCAGTGTTGGCTGCAGGCCACCAGCGGCTGGGGGTGGGGGAGGGGAGGGGGGAGGGGAGAGAGGGAAGGGAAGTTCTAAAAAAAAAAAAAAAACCGTTGGGAGTTTCTAGCCCTGGCTTTTGTGAATTGTCCCTCCCACTACCCCCATCACCCCAGCCCCCTTTAGAGTGAGTTAAACACTCCCCCCTCCCCCCTCCATGTAATGAATGCCCTTTGCCACCCTGGGAGTGGAGGGAGGGGTGATCTTGACTGCTCCTGGCAAACTGCCTGCTCAGCACTAGAATTGGGCCTGTCGTTCACTGGCTGGGACACAAAGGCACATGCCAGGCAGGGATTTGGTCTCCCTGTTTTTCTGGTAGAGGAAAACTAAAAACTCAGGAGTGGGAAGGGGAGCCCTTGTTCAGGTCTGCACAGTTGGTGACTTGGGAGTGAGCCTTAGCCCCTGCGGGTGCCCCTCCTACCCAGTGGGTGGCCTCTGCCAGGCTGAGCCTGGGGGGGAGGGGAGAGGGAGAATGGCACTGTTGGCAGTGAGGAAGAAAAAATTTCAAGGGAAGGTGTGGGCTGCAGGTGGCCTGAAGCCTTGGAACCCGGTGGCAGAACTTCTGGGATAGGTCCTTGAGGAGGGCCATCCTAGGTGAGCCTGGAGCCTGAGGTCGGAGGGCTGACAGGGGCTGACAGTGGGACAGAGGCAGATGGGTAGGTCAGGAGGAGCTGCAGGGATGCCCGACCTGGTGCGAGACCCAAGAGAGTCCAGCACCCATTCTGACCCCAGGACCCTGTCATGTGCTGAGCTCCCTCTGACATACGAGCACCACCTGAGCATCTTGTTCCGTTCAGACCCCAGAGGGTTTGAAGTTCCTTGGAGGATGAGAGTCTGAGGTTCTGAGGGCAGAACAGCTTGTCCAGGGTGGAAGGCCACTGCTTGGCTCTGTACTGATTCTAGAGCCAAGCTGTCTGCTCCACCAGCCTGCAGAGAGGTACTCCACGGCGACTTGAGCTCCGGACCTCTGGGACACACATGTGTCCAAGGTTGGGAACACTCAAAGAGGGTCAGGAGCCCTGGCATGGGGACAAGAGAGGAGAATCCAGTAGCCCCAGTTCCTCTGGGTGTGGACTGATTCTTCCTAACTGGAGGCCTCAATGTCTGTCGGTGCCCAACCCTTCACAAGCAAAGGGTCCTACAACCTCTCTTTGAACCCAAGTTCAGGAGAGAGAAAGCAAGCAGGAAGCTGGGGCCTTAACCCTACATACTAGGAGACCCATGCTTCATTGTATTTTCTCCAAATGAACCTTTCTGAGGGGGCTGAGCCTTGAGCATAGAGAGCTGGAGCTGACCCACCACAGAGTCAGGGGCTCTCTTGTATCCATTCACCCCTGGGAAGCTGGTCCCTCCCTCACCAGCCAGGGCCCAGACTCTAGCTCTGCCCTCCCTGTAACTTGTAGTCACCCCAACTCATCGTCAGGAGGTCAGCCTTGGATCCCACTGGGGTGCTCTGGAGCTAGGGTTGCTAGACTGAGCACAGAAAAAACTAGGATGCCTAGCTGATTTTGAATTTCATGTGGACAATGTGTACTTTTTTAGTATGTCTCATGAAATATGTGAGATATACTAGTACTAAAAAAAATGCATTGTTTATGCAAATTCGTATTTCACTGGACATCCTGGGCTTTATCTGGAAACCCTATTTGGGCTCTGACTAGCCAACATGGTCAGTCCCTGTCCACAGGGAAGTTTCAGGCCCACAGGAGAGAGAAGATGCTGAGAGCTGAGCATCATGGGTCCTGGGAGCACCATTGTCATAATGACACCGAGTATGTTGGCGGGACACCGGTGCTTGCCACATGTCTTGACCGAAGGTGGGGGGGAGGCACGCATGTGCCAAACTGGACAAAGGAATGAGGGAAAGCTTGAACTGGTCCACCCTGGGCTCCGGGGTGGAGGGTCTTCCTCACTCCTGCCCACCCCAAACAACAAACTTCTAGAACACACAAGGAGGGCGGAACTGATCTAGTTGAAGAACCCACTCCCCTCATCAAGAACCCCGCCCTTCCCACATCTCAGCTTCCTTGTCCCCTTCAGAGATGTGCTCTGAAGATCAACTGGGTCAGGAGAGAGCCTTGAGCGTTTCTGGAAAACCCCCGAAGTAAACATATAGGTTATTTCTTCACCAGGGAACATTAAACATGCCTTGTCAGATCCAAATGCCTTCCAACGACTCTGGCCTGGAGCTTCAGCTTGACGGAGGGACAGACACCCAGTGATATTTACCTGGAAACTGACTGCCAACCCTCCCTCCCTCCCTCCCTCCTTCCCTCTCCCTGTAACCCAGTGGGCACCGCCAGGCCTCGGCATGCTGCCCTCACTACCTGCTTGCTGGATCACCCGTTGACCTGGGACCTCATCCTCAGCCCCTTCAGTTTTATCCTGGGTCACCGGGAATGACACTGGGACATGAGGGAGTTGGGACCAGCCCCCATGAGCCAGACCTGCCCTTGTACAGAACCACATCCCCATGCATTCTGAAAACAAGTCTCCGTCTATGGTTCCCTGTTACGTTTGCCACTGCTGTGAGAAGGTAAGAGCTCTGAAGAGGAAAAAGTTATTCCTGGACATAGTATCCGTTTCCTGTGGCCGTAGTTCAAAAATCACTGTCGTCCGCCCCCCACACACCCCCCATGCCCTTCTGCACCTCCCTCTTCCCTCTGTGGTTACTGATAACAGCTGACATTGAGTGCTTATGATGAGCAGGGACCTTTAGAGGGATGGTCTCCTTCAGTGCTCACACATCTTCTCGAGGTGGGCACTATCACTGTAGAAGGCGTAGAGGCTTGAGTAAGCTGTCAGGTGCAACATCCGGGGACTTGGAGATAGACTTACCTGTCTCCAGGGGTCATCCTCCCACCTTCCAGGGCGCTGTGGGTCCTTCAGAGGACCGGCTCAAGCCCCATCCCTCCCTGAGGTTGTTCTAGATTATTCCAGCCTTTACCAAGGCTGGCTGTGCCCTGAACACGAGCAGTATTTACTGCCTCCCCCCAGACCACTGTCAATCAATTTCATGCTGCAACATACACAGACGTAGGGGCGTCCTCCATTCTCCAAGTAGACACAGCCTTGAGCACCTCGGGAGGCGAGGGGCATGTCTTGGGTGTGTTATGCAGTCCCAAAGCTTGTGCACAGTTCTTAGATAAATACCTCGGAATCCGATGTCTTGTGTGTACGAGTACGGAGTCGTGTGCGTGTGCATGTACGTGTGTTTATGTGAAATTGGACAGTGAAGCGTATTCCCACGCTGCAGGTCACGAACAAGGTCCAGGGACCAAGGAAAGGCCCCGAGCTGTCCCCGGGGGCCTCTGTGCTCTGGCTGCAGAGCAGAGGCGGGGGACTCAGGCAGTTCCCTCTCTCCCCACCTCAGCAAGGGCAGACACGCGCATACGCTCTGCGGCTCCAGGGCCTGCCACGCCCTCCTCCCTCACGGGATCCATTTGTGAGAGTTTCAGGAGGCTCTCGGTAATCATGCGGTAATTGAATTTAGGGAAACAGACCCTAAGGATAATCCTGGAGTCAGTTCCAGGAAGAATCGTGGTTTAATTTCTGTACTTGGCTGGTGGTACACGTTATGCGGGTCCTGACAGTGCAGCACCTGCCTCATCATTATGTATTTCCTTGTGACATGCGGTTGGGGACGGTAAAGAGAGAGAGAGAGGCTTGTCGATCCCGACACCCATACGCACACTGCGTAACCACGAGCAGAAGACGTGGCACTGGCCCCTCAGTTGTTTGCATATATGGTCTTCATGTGGGCTCTGTGGATAGGGTCTCACACACGGTAAGGACTCACCGAACGTCACTGGTGATCGCTGTTTCTCTTAACCAATTCTCCGCAAGTTCTCAAACCTAGGTAGGGGCAGACAGTCGGCCTTACCCAAGGATGTCCAGGGTGCATGTGCATTCGTGTGGCGGGGGGGGGCATCAGGGCTCGAGGAGGGTCACAGCAACGCAGCCTGGACTGGTAGGAATGCCTCTGCTTTCCTGCCTGAGTGAAGGATCCTTTCAAATGCACACCCTGGAGTTTAATATTGCCAACGACTGGCCCTACTCCTTTCAACCTGCGCCAGGTGTAATGTAAACCTCCCTGGATTTCCTCCCTTTCCTGTTTCATCTGAGAAATTCTTCACTAATTCCACGGTATCTGGTTTCTCATTGTTTCTCTCGGCTTCAGACAGCCCCTTGGGGTGGGCTCTGGAAAGGTGTGCTTAACGCTCCCAGCAGTCCAAAATGTCACGGGCTCTGCCCTCACCACCGCCTCCGCCCTCCAAAACCTCTTAAAAGGGGCTGCTCGGGGCTGTCAGGACACCATAAGCCGTAAGGCCCCGGGAAAGGAGCAAATGCCCATCCCCAAATCCAAAAATGGTGTTGGGTGGTCACTTCCCTTCTGCAGGGCGGTATGCAGACTGAGAACAGGACAATCATGTTAAGCTCTTTCCTGATATAATGCTGAGATGGTATGACTACAGCAGAATAATGGTATGTCACCCATTCTTTGTGGAGGTAGCGCTGTTTAGGGTTGAGGACAAGGAATAATCCAATGCCGGTGGAGGAGGCCTGGGCCATTCCAGATGCAAGCAGGGGACCATCTATTTTCCTCTGACTCTCGAGGAGGTGGGGTTACAAAACCATGTGGATGTTGGGGGGTGGGGAGAGAAGAGCCTGGCGAGCAAAATCCCTCCTATGAGCAGCGGAAGCGAGCATCCTTATAGCCATTTCCTGCTTTGTTTTTCGTGCTCCCCGACTCGCCTGCTGGAGCTGAGCCGGGGAAGGAAGCACCAGGCAGGGCCAGGGAGATGCACGGCTGGCCAGGCTCCTCTCAGCCTTCCCTGTGTCTTCTCCCCGTCTCCTCTCCAGGCACTGAAAATTATTTATGTTTGCAAATTGCTTTTGACTCACATGAGTTATTCCTCTTGCCTGCCAACAGGTCTGCGGATGGGAGAGTTCTCGAACCGGCGAGCTGAAAAATCAGGGCGACGGCGGAAGGAGCACTGATGTGAGGTCAGGAGTCCTGGGATCTGGTCCCAGCTCCACCACGGCTGGGCCCGCACCTCCCCTGCCCGGGCCTCCAGTGCCTCATCTGTAAATGAGAGGGTGAGTGTGAGCTCTCCGGACCCCAGTGGCTCTGGGCTCTGACGTCCCCTGGGCCTATAACCCCCCAAAGAGACACAGATGAGGTTGGCACTTGCGCCTGGTGATCCTGCTGCTGGGCGCTGGAGGGTGGAGAGGTGGCTACCCAGCCCTGGCCTGGCAGGAAGAGTGGGACAGGACAGCGGGGCAAACAAGAATGCTTCCTCCCTTCATGTTTTCTTCACACTGGTCCTTACCCACGCCTTATTCCATAGACCAGGATGAAGACAAATGTCTGCAGAGGACCCATCCAGGTGGAAAGTCCCTGGGACTGGCCCAGGAAGGAAACACACACGAACACCGGAATAACCATCCTAATCAGTAGCGCAGCCAGAGCAAGATCAGCTCCATAGCAGGTGGGTAGAGTCACCCGCCCTCCAGAGAGGAATGGATTGGCCCATTGACCATAGGGTTGTGGACTCCTGGAAGCTTCGAGCAGAGAGGGGCCATGGAGTTTTTAAGTCCTTCACTCTACAGATGGAGAAACTGAGCCTGCAAAAGGCCAAAGTGAACATCAAGGTGGATTACTGATCATTCTCTGCCTGCAGGTAGGTATGTATGTGTGTTCCAACAAGGATTAGTGCTCACCCAACTCACCTTACTACAAAACTGTATTTATTAATAAGACTAATGATAACATAATTCAAAGGCCAATGCCATAACCATGAGCAATCTGCCACATGCAGAGTGCCATGGTTTGGCTTCTTTTCTCTGGACTGTGGTTTGGGGCTTAACGTAGAGAGAAGATGGGAGCATCTGGGCTTCTTCCAAGCCAGTGACCAAGTGGGAAATGAAAGCTGTTATGGGTTCTGCTCTCCAAGATGGCAAGACATCTGCTAACCTCAGAGATTTGAGTTGGCTCTGACTTGGCAGAAAGGTGGTATTTGCTCAGCCTTGGGTCTAGAGTTTGGGGTCTCTGCACTCCTTCCTGGGAGAGGACCTATGGTGGGCAGAAGGCAGCTGGATAGTGGGGAGAGAGACTGTCCTGTAGGATGTCTCTCACCCTGAAACCTGTCCTTTCTCCTGGGCTCAGAGGTGTGTTCCCAGAGCATGAGATCCACATGGGTAGATTTGGGTATCCCATAGGCCTAGCCTCTCCAAGCAAGCTCTCATCAGTTCCATTTGCCTCCTCTTAGGAAAGAAGCACCAACCAGAGGATGCACCAGGTCTTTAGCTGTGGGCTAATCTGGTATAAGTGGTGCCTACACACATCTCAGTAATTTGGAGACGGAGAATGGGGAATGGGTGAGCCAGGACCAAAATCCAAGAAGGAGGCAGCAGCAGAGAGAAATGGAAACCAGACAGGACCAGAGATAAAGAGAGAGACAGACACAGAGGTAAGGAGACAAAAAGGACAGGGACAAGGGAATGGAAAATGATCATAAACAGAAACTGAGACGAGAAGCAGACGAGGAGAATGTGAATGGCTCAGATACGCCAGGTTGGAAGGGACCAAAGTTAGCATCACCAATCCCGGGACGAACTGGTATGTGTCTCTTGACGTGATATACTGAGGAGGACAGAACATCCCTCCAGTGGCATTCCCGCCCAAAATGCAGAGTCGGAATCTAACCATGCAGAAATATCCAGCGGGCACTCTTCAAACTGCCAAGGTGAAGGTACCCAGAGAAAGGCAGAGACCCTGTCCCAGCTTAAAGGACACTAAAAAGACAGGGTATTGAACGCAATTCACCAGCCTGTTTTGGCTCTTGGAAGAGGAAAAAAAAAAAAAACTATAAAGAGCATTATTGAGAAAATTGACAAAGCTTGCATATGGCCTGTGGGTTAGTATTGGACCAATGGTAAACATCCTGATTTTGGTTATGGAAGAGAGCGCCCTCTTTCCTAGGAAAAAACACACCGAAGTATTTAGGCATAAAAGGCCACAAGGTTTCCAACTTACTCTCAAATGGTTCAAAAAAATGGGGAAAAAATATATATGTATATATAGAGAGAGAATGATAAAGCACATGGGTAAAATGCAAATAACTGGTGAATCTAGATAAAGAATATATGGAAATTCTTTTACCACACTTGCAACTTTTCTGTACCTTGGCAAAAAATACTGAGTTGATATTCAAAAAGAGGTGCTTGCAGCCTCCCTGTTAAGGTGGGGGACAGGTGCTGGAGGCTTTTAGTGGTGCTGAGAAGAACCAGAAGAGCGGCCGCATGCAGGCAAGTCTGAGAACCAGCTCTCCAGCAGCTGAGAACATCCGGGAGACTTGACCCATCCCTCACCACATGCTTGAAGGCCCGTTTTCCAACCCTTTACCCCATGACCTCAACACAAATGAATGGGGGCCCAGGGGGTCCCACAGCTGCCCCTTGCCCTGTACCAAGAGGTCCCAGCAATTTCCGGTTCACACTGCACAGCAAAGCCCAACCTTGCTCTTTGGCCACGTGAGGAGGGAGAATCCAGCAGAAGGAAGGATTAGGTCGTCCAGCAAACAAGGCTCCGTGGGCCAACTGCTCTGTGCTGACCAGTTCTGTGCCCTGGGGCTGGTGGCTCTGTCCCCCAAAGCTCACCAAGGCTGGCCTGTTCTTATAATTTGGGTTTCCGAAATATCCCCTCTTGAGAGAAGACTTCCCTGACCAATGACCATTTTATTACCCGTTTTTTCTTCTTATCGATTTGTTGACTTGTCTGCCTTGGGTTTCTCTGTGTGTGTGTGTGTGTGTGTGTGTGTGTGTGTGTGTGTGTGTGTTGAGAGAGAATGAGAGGAGAGATTTGGCTTTATTCGGTGCTCTGAGCAAGGCAGAGTGCTAGAGGTGAGGTCTCCCAGACTCTCCCCCGCAGACCTGAGAACTCAGGAGTTCTGTGACTAAGGGCGGGCTTACGGGCCATGCGTGGGTCCAGCCCCAAGAGAGAGCATGGGCCCCAGAAACACTTATGTGGTCTCGTGAAGAGATCCCAAATGGAAAGCCTCCCTGGGCCCCCAGATGGCCCTCCTCATGCTGACCAGGGTATTCCCATCCTGATCACAGAACATGCTAGAGAAGAATCACACCTTTCCGCTTTCTCCCTCACCTGCCAGAAATGGGAAGGAGCAAAGTCAACAGAAAACAGGCTATAAATCCTGCTCTGCCAGTCAGGTTCTGAGTGGAGAAGTGAGCGAGTGACTGAATGAAAACCTCTACTAGTTTAAGTGGGTTTCGCTCATCATTCGGTTTCTTCCCTGGAATATATGACACTCAGAGCACTGGGCTGAGGTCTGAGCTTTGTCCCCTCTCCAGAAGCCGGCATTATACGGGACCACAGTGCTCTGGAAAGCTCATCAGAGGTGACCTTGGCATCCCAAGGGGAGCTGGTCCTTCCTCAACCTAATGAGAGACCAAGGAGACAACCCTATTGAAATTCAAGTCCCAGGGAGACTGGAGTAGCTCAGAAGGTGTTGAAGAAAGGCTATAGAGCTACATCCGTTGAAATATGTTTACTGCTGTTGGATGCTTTGTGGCTTCCCTTGTGACATCGTTGAAAGATCTAAATACCCACCGTGCATCGCAGGGAACACGCAGCCCAGGCCAATTTAGCTGATCAAATCTTGGCAAGTCAGCAAGTAAGGACCATATTGACATTTAAAACATTAGAGGCGATCTCCTGGTCTGCTCCGGCCGCCTCCCCAGCTGGCTGGAGAGATGAAGTGTGCCTCCATCCCTGGACCAGCTGGGTCTCTTGCAGATAAGCCATCTCTTTGTCTCGTCCTTGCCTTGTGCAGCCGGGACGGGGATTGCCGTGCTGAATGACTGCTGACAAAGGAAGAAACCGACTTGTGACCCAGTGTCCCAAATTCCCATCCTCAAGATAAGAGTGGGCAAACAGTCAGATCTATAAATAATGCTTCCTGAAGCACCTCACAGACTTGGCAGGCGTGGGCGTCTCACTTGTCTCTTCCCCAGCGTGGAGCTGGAGGGCTCTCCCGCTGGACCTTTGGAAGCCCAGAGGCAGGAGCCCTTCTTGCCTTTCTCTACCTTGCGCTGAGCCAAAAGCACAGGACCTTCAGCAGCCATGAGATGGTTCTCATCCTTCCACTCGCCTGCAGCCATGCAGCTGCTGGAAATTAACTTGGGTGCAGAGGAGCCCTCCTTAAGGTCTCTGATCCCCAGTTCACCCCCAGTTAGGGTGAGGAGCCTCCACCAGGCTGAGGGAGAACATGTCCAGAATTCCAGGCATGGCGTACCCCTGCGTGACTTCCCACCTGCTGATGCAAGCGGGAGGCAGGGTCGTGTCCCTGTCTCTCTCACTGCCATAACCAGTCTGTAGTTACTGGACTCGGTCTTTGTCTTGGTTCTTTTCTCAGCTACCAAAGAGATCATTTTTTGTCATAGCTTGTAAGGCATTTTGTTCTCTCCTCCTTCTCTGATAATGTTCATCATCAGCTTGAATTCAGAAGAGATGCCCAAAGTGACACCAGCCCCTGGATAAACACCACTGCCTGGTGCCCCCATGACCTGATGATGACAGGAACTCACAATTATAGAATGTTCGCTGAGCCAGGCTCTATGGAAAAGCCTTTAGAGGATTTGTCTCTTTTAATCCTCGCAATAACCGGATGGAATACAAACTTGTATTACCCCCACGAGGAAATGGGGGTCAAGCACCTGGCCTGGGATCACAGAGCGAGTAGTGGGACCAGGGCTTGGAACCAGGTAGCCTGGGCTCCTCACAACAGAGCCACACAGCGGCAGGATCTGCGAACACAAAGAGCGCCTGGCCAGGACGTCCCCCTGGAGGAGTGATAGCACAGCCACAACCACGCATATGTCAGAGGCACTGGCTATGAACTGAGATGAACCCCACAAAGTGATCAGCTCTTGGGGCCACAGAGTCAGCACAAGGGTGGAGCTGGAAGGAGCCTGGGAAAACTCCAGGACACGGCCCCCTCCTTTTACAGGTGAATTACAAGGACGCTCGGGCCCCACATTTTAGCTGGTGAAGCATCCGAGACCATGTGGGAACAGCCCTTCTGCCTGTGGCCCCCACTTTGGGGTCGGTACTCCAAGCTGACTGGGGCAAGAGAAATCAGCTTGATATGGATGGGATCTGCTCAAGGTTTGGTTCAGACCCAAATATGCTGCCTTTTTCCAGAATTGGCTCAGCCCTCTGGAGGCCCCCCACGTTGAACCTGGCGGTAGGGTAGCCTCCAGACTGAGAGGCTGCTGGTTACAACATCTGCCCTCTAGACCCGGCAATGAACTCCCCCTCTTTACAGCTGAGTTTCTTTGCAGCCTCTTCTCTCCTGCAATTGCAAGCTGATAAGAGGATTTTTATTCACCATCTTCACTCCTGGTAGTTCTATTTCCATGGCTACTCCATGAACGCTCAAGCTTTGCTTACATCCTCAACGGGCTGAGCTGCCAGCCCTAAAAATCCTGAACCAGAAGCCCTTGTTGGTCAGGCAACTTCTATCCTGGCCTTTCCTGTAGCCCCCAGCCCCAGATTAACCCATTACACGCTCTCAATATCATCCAACACTTATCTTTCACAGCACTCATCGAAGTTGTGAATCACATAGGGTGTATGGTTTTTCTATTACTTACCTCTCACCCCAGGCTTTAAGCTCCATGAGGTAAGAAGCCAGGTCTGTTTTATTCATAAGAATATCCCTGAACTCTGAGCACTGGGCTGACCAGCATGGAGAAGATGCCCAGGAAATTGTTGTCGGATGAATATGTAGGAGGGTGGATGGATGGACGGATGGATGGATATTGAGAGAGTGAGTAGGAGCATTTCTAGGATGCCAGATTACCAGAACGGTCTCTGAAGCTGAACAACATCCCACTGTGCAGAAAGGTGAGGGTAGGCGGTGCCTTCATTCTTTCCCCACCTTCCTTCTCCATCTGCAGTCTCTCCTGCTACAACCCCGGAAGCCTCCTGCTAAAAATGCCCCCGAATGCTTTCGTTTCTAACCAGCAGCCCCTTGGGTTAATGGCAACCTCAGGTGGTTGGTGAATGATACTACATTCTCTCTTCTACTCATTTGGATGTTGCCCCTCCTTCCTTTGCCTGCTGCCCCAAGGAAGGCTTTATGGAGTATCCCATTAACTGGGGGGAAAGCAAATGAGTGGGCTGGAGCAGATGGCCTTCATGCACTACCCAGAAGGAGCACAATCTGGGGTTGATGCTTTATCTTGTGGTTCTCCCCAGGAGAGGAGGTAGATGGAGAAGAGAGAGGATACTCTATTTGGAGAGACACTGGTTTCCTCCTGCCACTTCTCCGCTGGGGACCCATGGGACTCTGTAGGGACCTTCTTCAAGTCCTTGGTGCAGGGTCTAGAACAGCGTGAGGAACAGACAGGGCATTTACAGAAGCTTTTCCACAATCATGATGGCAAAGAAGACCATAAGGACACTGACATTATTATAGAAAGTAAAGGCTCTCAGGAGCGCCTGGGGAGCTCAGTTGGTTGGGAGGCCGACTCTTGATTTTGGCTCAGGTCATGATCTCAGGGTCGTGGGATCTAACCCTGCTCAGATTGGAGTATGCTTGGGATACTCTCTCTCCCTCTCCCTCTGTCCCTCCCTGCTCACGTGCTCAAATAAATAAATAAATAAATAAAATATTTGAAGAAAAGAAAGTAAAGGCCCTCCTCCCCACTCCTGTTCTGATTTGGGCACCTACTAAGTGCAAAGCCACTGTCTGTGTTATTTCGTGGAGTCCTGCCATCACCCCGTTGTATGGACAAGAAACACGAGGCCTGCAGAAGCTCAGCACCTAGCAGGGCAGCAGTTCAAACCCACTTGTGGGCCATGCTTCTGTTTCTCTGTTCCCTGGAACCTTGAAGGTAGAGGCCCTAGATGCCATTCAGTTCACCTCCGACCTAAGCAAGAATTCACTCCATAATTTCCCAGGATCATAGGTGGCCCAGGAATCCCAGGTAGGTATCCTGCCTGCCTACTCCAGGGTGGTGCTAATTGTTCTCTCCTCCTCCTTAACACTTTTAAATCCAGTATTCCTGCAACTTCCTCCATTTTCATTTGGGCTCAGCCCACGGGTCAGGGCTCCAAGTGCTGGGAGCTCTGGGGGACAGCCTTGGCAGGAGGGTTCCCCAACCAGCCAGGCTGACGACCCCCCCCACACTCTGCCACCGTCTCTTGAACTACACCTGTATCCTCACCCTGGGCTCCGCTGAAACCCACCCCCCAGCACTTGCATCAGGGAAGCAAGCCTCTACCTAGCATGGGGTGAAGGGTGGTAGCCTTTATCTTGTTGTTCCTCCTACCCTACTCCCACCTGCTTTTCTTTTTTTTTCTTATCTAAAATTTTTTTATTTTTTATTTATTTTTTTATTATTATGTTATGTTAATCACCATACCCCACCTGCTTTTCTTAAACCTTTCAACCTGGCTAGTGAGGAGGGGGAGGTGCTCCACGGGCTGACAGCTCTCCTCTCCCCCCCTCCCTAGGTAAACTGCTGTGGGGGAAGCAGGGCACAGGGAGGGGTGGGCTGGTCCGGAGGGCACCCAAGCACAACACCAGCTTTGCCTGTGGGTGCTGCCTGCCCTCTCCTTATCCCTCAAAAAGCAAGGTGGGGATGGGAAGGAGGCGGGGCTCGGAGAAGGGGTGCACCAGCCTCACCTTGGCCCTGCTGACTCTGCAAAGCTGACTCCACAAATCTGGCTCCACCGGCCCCAGCCCTGCATGCGGAGTCGCTGGGGCCGCGGCGCCCCCTCCACCCCACGTGCCTCCCTGCCCTTCCGCAGCCCCTGGCCCAGCCACGCTGGCCACCGGCCATTTTTCCCTCCTCACCCCACCGCCTCTGCAGTGCAGACCCTCACCTGGTGAGACCACAGCCCAGCGGCCACACACCATCACCGCCCAGAGCCAGGGGCAGCTAGCACGCACCCAACACGGGAGGCCACATGGCTGGGACAGGATCCCTGCCCTCTAGGGGCTTCTCGTCCACAGAAGCCGCAGACTTTATGTGGGGGGAGTAGTCTCTTTCCTGGGGAGACCTTGAATTGCACACGGAGCCTTTGAAACACGTGCCCAAGGTGGGCTGTGGGGCCACGTGCCCACCCTGCCACCATGGCCGGGCTGCTCCGGCCTCTCCCGCCCACGGTCCCCTCGAGATCCCTCCCTCCTCTTCGACCTCGGTCCTATAAGACAACACTCTGTTACCCCACGCAGCAGCCAGCCTTCTAATGGCCCGAGACACTTGATGCTAGGGCTCATCTCAGTTCGGGGTCCCAACCTGGCTGTAAGCGCCCCCAGGGCAGCCAGCGCCTCGGCCACCATGCATAAGGAGAGGTCAAGAGACAGCTCTGGGAGGGGTCATCCCGGCCGCCGCGGCCAACCCCGCGGGTGGGAGGCGATGTGGCCTGGGAGTGGAGCTTCCAACCACCGGGCTTTGTGACGGGGGGACCGGGTGGGGAGCGGCCAGAAGGCCCCAGCGCGAGGGCAGGAGTGTCCCTTTGCCGATCGCCTTCTGGGCAAATCCATTCATTGCAGGGGCAGCCGAGGCAGCGGCCAAGCTGGCTCACTCCACCCTGGGAGGTGGCCGAGCAACGCCCGAGGAGCCTTGGGAAATGGGCGAAGTGGTCAGACTGGTTTCCGGAGCCGAGCTTGGAATCCACGCGGGCTGGCAGGCATTGGTGGGGAGGACTGAACCCCGCCAGCGGCGCCGGAGGCCACCCCGGGACGCTTTGTTTTCCACCCTCCAAGGCGACCCTGCGGGGTGGGGGTGGGGGAACAGCAGGCGTCCAGTTGGGGAAACCCAGTCTTCCTGCGTGTACCTTCAAGCTGGCCGCTCCCCACCCCGCTGGCGCCCAGCCCCCTCCCGCCGTGGCCCGGTGTTGGCCAAGAGTGCCGGAGGCGGGAGCTCCCGATCCACAGCGAGCCTGGGCTTTGAGCTTGGTATTTGAAAGAAGTAAGAGGAGGACAGAGGAGTGCGAAGAAGAGTCCAGCTCTGCCACTAACCTTCTGAATGACCTTGCACCAGTCACCCCCTTCTCCCAGCCTGTTTCCTAATGCCCCACTGTCCCTTCCAGTCAGACACTCATAGGAGTCGAGGTGGACCCGGTGGGTGCAAGGGAAGGAGGGCGCCACAGCTGGTGGCCATGTGCTCCCACGGGGTTGAGCAGTCCCAAGGAAACTCAACTAGTTGTTGGGGACCGTGGGCAACCCCATCCCACTCCCAGGCGCTGGAGCCTCCGGGAACGGGAAAATGGAGTCTTCAAATTCCCTACCACGCAGTAGCGTGGCACTGATGGCTAGGCTGGCAGGCGCCAGGTTCTCCCGGGCTCTCTGGGCTCAGGAAGGGGTGCCTCCCCCTCCCACACACCCCCCACAAACCCCTAGGTCTGGAAGTCCAGTGCAGGGGCGTTGAGGGAAGGGGCCGAGCAAGCTGGGGACTGGAGCGAGACAGCACTGCCATCCCGGAAAATGGAGTGCCAAATTTCCCGTTTGCAGCAGCTGCTGGGCAGCTAGGGGGGTCTCGAGAGCCGCCCACGCTGCGGTCTTCTTTGAGGTCCCTCGGTGGGAAAACGGGGGCGTGGGGCTGGCACTACGCGGGGGCCGTGGGGGCTCCTGGATTAGTGACCCCCCCGGCCAACCCAATCGGAAGAGAGAAGGAACTCAGAGCTAGAAGAGTGCCCAGCCCGCGGGGGACCCCCCTTCCCGCAACAAGGGTGGGCTGCAGCGAGGGCTCGGGTCCAGCCCTGCGACCAGCCGTGGAAGGGGGTCCCGGTCGACCCGCCGGGGCTGCGCGCGTGGCCGTCGCACGCGGAGCCTCCTTGGGGCTGGGGGGGCACACCCGCCCCCCGAGAGGGGAGGGGCGAGGGCCGGGGCCCCGGAGCCCCGGGCCCCCAGGCCGCCCAGCCCGGGTGGGCTGCAGGGGCCCCCGTGGGCCCGGGCCGGGCTTTGTCTGCGGCAGCTCGGCTTTGGGAAGGCGCCAGCCCGGGTACAAGATGGCGGGGAAAGGGTGGGATCGCGGGCGCTCGCCACGCGGAGCGGCCCCCTCTGCCTGCACTGCAGCAGGGGGAGGGGCGGGGGGCGCCAGCGACCGCGCGCGGCCCCCGCCCCCGCTCCGGCCGCCAGCCGACACCCCCGCCGGCGCCCCTGCGCCCCTCCGTCCCCGCCGCCTCTGTGTGGCGGCGGCAGCCTGCGCCTCACTCCGCAGAGCCCCGGCCGCAGCAGCTGCAGAAAATGGCTGCCAAAGCGGCGCCAGTCGCCACGCTGCCACGGGCGGGGGGCGCGCGCCGCAGGCCCCCCGCGGCCCCGCTCCCCTTCCCTCGCGCGGGGACTCTCCGCCCGCGCGCCGGGACCCTGGCGGGCGCCGGGGGAGCGGGAGCCGGAGTGGGGGCGAGCGCGGAGGGGGAGGGGCGGTTACCTGCCGGCGGCGGGGGGGGCGCGCGGGGGGGGGGTGGCGGGAGGACAGCGCAGGGAGGGCGCTCTTGGCCTGCCCCCCTCCCTGCATGCCCCGAGCCCTCACGAGGTCGCGGCTCCCGGGTGGGCAAATGCTAATGGGCTGTTGACCTCCGTGACCGCGTGCCGCCCCCGCCCATGTAGAGATCCCTGTCCTCACCCCCGCCCCCGCCCCCGCCCGGGCGGTGCAGCTGGGCTGGCCCGCCTTGACGCCCCCCGCGCAGGAAAATGAAAATTAAATTAAAAGCCGTGTGTGTGCCGACTACAAAACGACCCAAGCCCGGAACTCCGCGGAGAAGATCCGGGTGGATCCTCCGGCGCCATGAACTGCAGCGGCGGCGGTAGCTCAGCAGGTGCCGCGCGCCCACCCTCCTCTCGGCAGGGAGCCGCTCCCCGACCCCCGCCTCCGCCCAGCCGAGAGCAGCCCGCGCCGCCGAGGCGCCCGCGGCCGCCCTGCAGCTCCCTGGCACCCGGGCCCAAGCACACTTCTTCGGGCGCCAAGGGGAGCCCGGGGCTCTGGAGAGGGGCGCCCAGGGCGAGCTGGAGACCCTAGCGCGAACTCAGGACAGGGCCGAGGGGCGCACCAGAGCGGGGAGGAAATTGCCCCCGGAGTCGCGGGCTTGGGGTTGTTGAGGAATAAACGAAAAGTGCGAACCGAGGGCCCGTGGGTGAGGTCGGACTCCGGAGTCGGGACCGCTTGGTGAAGTAGAGAGGGTCCGTAGCCCCCCTTCTCCCAACCCGGAGGACCCCAGGCCCAAAGCGGCCGGGCCGCCGGGGAGAGGTGCGTCTGTAAGTTTGGGGCTTTATTTTCCCCTGTCTGCAAGTTTCTCTCTCACCCCTCCCGCCAACCGCGTTCTCGATTCCAGCGATTTCACTACCACTGGCTGGAAAACTCAAATTCAGTAAATAAGAGGGCAGAGACCAGGAGCCAACAGGTCAGGTAAAGGCATTTCCAGATTTGAGAGCGGCTTCTGCTCCTGAGGTTGAAGAGTAGAGAAGGGGCGCACTGAAGGAGGCATGTCCCTGTGCGGGGAGAAGTCGGAGGATAACTGGGGACCTGCACCCCCTATCCCCCGCTGGACGGAGGTATCCATGTACGTAAGCACACAGAAACCTGGGAATGGGGATTTAATATAAACGACCTGGCTAACTGGGCGCGGGCAGGCACGGGGCAGAGATGGGCTAGGCGGGGGCACTGGGAGGCTACGCCCGGGCATCCACGGATTTTCCAGTGCTCAGAGAGGTCTCCATGGCACAGGTCCAGCGCGGGGCGCAGACCTAGGCAAACCTTCCGCCCCGAGGGCATCCTCAGTCCCTGCACGGGAGGGAATCTGCTTTCTGTTAGGCAAAACACCGTGGCAGCGTATCGCAGCCAAGGTCAGGGAGGGATACGTGCTGGCACCAAGGGCTGCTGCGGCCGCAGAGCTTCCTTCCGCAGACACAGCGAGGAGGAGGCGGCCGAAGCTAACTCGATCCAGCAGGCAGCGCCCTCCCAATCTCGCACCTGCATTC